GGAGAAAAAAAAGTGGATTTAAATTGCCCGCAAAACGTGTTCCTGCTTTGAGATGCTGAGGGTTGTTTTTTTTTCCCAAGAGCAAACAGGCTCTGACCCCTCCTGGGCACATTCAGATCCTGAGAAGTGTGGTGTCCTGCCTGCCAGTGGTATGGACACAGTTGCATCCCTGGAGCTCCAGGTGCTGCATCACCTGGCAAGTCGTGGGTGGGAGCGCCCAGAGTCTTGGGGCTGCTGTAGCTCTGGCTTGGTGCCATGGATGCGAAGGTAGCTCTGGTCCCTGCTGCTCATGTCCATGTAGCAGGTGAGGTTGTGCCACAGGGGGATGCTGAGGTTCAGATCCTGCACTGCTCCTGCCAGCATGGAGCAGGAGCCTCTGAGGATCGAGGACAGGAGTGCTTACTGCACTCCCCTTGCCTTCCCAGGGCACCTCAGTACAGCTGGCATTTCCCCATCCTGGGAGGGAACTGAGCAGGCAGCCAGGCCCACTCTGGGCCAAGGCAAGAGGTGTTTGGAGCAGAGGACCCAGCCATTTGCAGTAAGGAGCCCCAGGGCGAGCGGCAGGGTTTGTCTCTGCCAGGAGCAAGGGAGAAGAACTCAGCTCAGGCTCCGGCTCAGCCGTGCTGCCAGGGGAGGTGGACACTAGAGCTTGGGGCCGCTAGCTACCCTGTAGGCTGCCCTGTCGCCTCAGCCACGCAGCAGGGTCTTAGCTGGTTTCTTGGGCTAGTGCCCCTTTTCCCCTTTGGACTAGGGTGACAGTGCCACCATAGCAGAGGTCCCTGTCAGGGGAGGACCGAGGCACCCTGGTGCCACTGCTGCTGACAGCACTGGCCCCTCTGTCCCCACAGGCAATCATCGATCTGACCTGTGAGGACACAAGCACAGACTCAGCACCACGGAGCAGCCTCACCATCATTGACCTGACAGAGGACACATGCAGCCCTCCCCACACCACCAGCTGGGCTGACCAGGACCCTGGGCAGGCACCTGCTGCCCCAGCAGCACACACATCCCATCCCCAGCTCTGCTCTAACACAACACAAGAAACAGAGGCAACAGTGGGGCCGAGCCCTGCAGCACCATGGCACGGTGCTCCCACAGAATCCAGTGCCACCAAGGACACAGGAGAAAGCCCGGAGAACTGGAGCTGCTTGTCTCCCACCTCCAGCCACCACAGCTGCTCCTGCAGCCCTACCTCTTTTAACAGTGATATGGGCTCCCTGGCCAGCATGCAGCTGGACTCAGACTTGCTGTCCCTGTCCCCCTCCAGCCTGGACAGCAGCAGCAGCTGGAGAGCCAGTGGCCCAGAGGAAGAGACTCCCCACCTCTGCCAGCAAAGGGAGCTCCCTCCAAGGCTCAGCCCTGTCCCAGCCATCCCCACAACCAATGGGAAGGCCCAAGGGCCTTTGCTGGAAGCAGGTGATGTATCTGCAGGTACAACCCAGCAGGTGACCTCAGCCAGGACCAAGGGTGACAGCAAGACCTGGCTGAACAAACTGCACTATTTCAGGAGAAGCGGAGTCCAGCACCTCTTCCTCCAAGGCATAGCACCCAACAGGGAAACACAGCAGGTAAACAGGGTTCATAATTGCCACTGCCAAGCCCAGATGGAGCATGTTCAGAGCAGCCTGTGCAGTGGAGGATGGAGCAGGGGCAGCCTCTGCTCCACTTCCCCTTTCAGGGGAAGCTTTGCCAGGCAGCTGGGTTCTCTGGTTATTGCAGTTCCCTTCATGGTGGGACCCACATCACAGCTGGGTTCCTCTGTGTTGGGTGGATCTGGCTTTCACCTATTGCCTTACCTTGCACACAGCAGAAACCTGAGCTCATCCCCAGCGGGAAGCTGAGCATGGTGCACACCACTATGGAGGAGAACTTCCTGGAGGGCACCTTGCATTTCCTGAGCGAGTTCGTCTCCTGCCGGCACTGTCCCCCGAAAGAAATCGTCTCCCACCTGATCAGACAGATCCTGTTGAACCCCCACCAAAGGGAGAACCTGAAGGACACCTATATGCTGCTGATGAAGATCCAAATGTATGTGTTCCCTTTGTCACGGTGCCCTGGGGCTGGCTAGGTGCTCCTAGGGGCCTGGCCAGCATAAAGGTTATTCTCTGTGGTCCTCACTCACAGAACAGGGAGCAGTTTCCCCTATAACCCAGGATGGTCCTCCTGCCTCTGCCTCCTGTAATCAGCACAAGCGCACCTTGGGCTGTCTGACAATGGGTCGGGACCATCATTTGCCCAGACAGCAGCCATTAAACCCCCAAGTGGATGGAGGATGGTGGGGTGAGAGAGGCAGGGGATGCCAAGACAAGAGGGAAACAGCTCCAACTATGTCATGAGCTTTAATGGTTTAGTAGCAAGCCCACACAGTGCAGGGACAGCCTGTGACACCAGGGAGCCCTCTAGGACAGAGGAATGTTTGCCTTGCTCCTGAAGAGCAGATCTCTTTCTTCACTGCTGTGACATTGTAGAAACCCCTTCCTTGGGCTGCAGCAGGGGCCATGGGCTGGAGGTAGCTGGAGCAGTTCCCCCACTTCCCTCAGGGTTCCCACAGAGTCACAATGTTTTGTGAGGCCACAGGCCCAGGAGTGCCAATGCTCTCCATGGAGTACAGCCTCAGTCAGGTGCTTCTGAAAAATTAATGTGGTCAGGGAGGAGAAAGGGAGAGGGTGAAGCTGGAGAGGAAAAGGCAGGTCAGGCTTCTGAGCAAGTAGGGCTGGGGGCTGCTGTGCCTCCAGGCAGGCAGTCGGGCAGTTCAGCACAAATGGACAGTGCTGTCCTTGCAGGCTCCATCCAGCCAACGCTGCCACAGTGGGATGGGACTGGACGCTGCTGAAATACATCATGGAGGACCAGGTACTTGGCATCACGTGTGTCACATCGGGCACATCGGGATCATCCAGTACATGGTGCCTGAGGGTAAGCATTGCCTCAGGGCCCCACGGCCGTGCTCTGCTGCAGAATGGGCCAGTCCAACATGCAGTTCTATTGCAGCTGCTGAGGGCAGCAAACGCCAGTTGGGTCTCCCGCTTTTATCCACAGTGCTCCCTAAGCTGCTGCAGAGCTGCAGACAGATTGTCTCACCTGAAGAAGACAGCAACAGACAAAGCCTCTGTGGGCCACAACTCTAGTACCATGGTAGAGCAGGTCCAGCCAATGGAGCATTGCCTGAGCCAGGCAGCCCCTTCTGGAATTATTTCTCAGTCATGTACATCAGCCCATTCCCCAGTCAGCCAAATTCCCTGGTGCTTCTCACCCTGCAGCTCCACCAGGCTCATACTGTCTCCATCTGCCCTCAGGAGAAGCCCCCTGGCCGGCTCCTCTTCCTGCAGTACGTGGTACAGACCCTGGAGGATGACTTCCAGAAGAACCTGAGGCTGCGCATGCTGCACGACTCAATTGCCAAGAAAGTGCTTTCGTGTGACATATGCTTCAACAATGTCAAGTAAGGGACACCTCCTCCTCCTCTATTCTCTAACCAGATGCTGAGAGGCAGAGGCTCAGGGAACACTCATCAAAACTCCAGGTCAGGCTTTCAGACTTCCCAGGAAACAAGCCTGGGAGACAGAGGGAAGCGTAGGGCCCAACTGTGAAGAACAGGAGCAGGTTTACAAAAGCAAATCACCAGAGGTGATGCAAGGCATTTCCAGCTGCAACCTAGTGGGCGTTTCCCAGGAACGAGGTCAGATTTACATTGCTTAGGACAGGACTGAGAAGGAGGCACTCCTGTTGACAAGCATATAAATCTGGTGCTCAACAGAGTTACTCCCTAGCTTGTCCAAGCAGGGGGGATGTATTCTTCATCCTCAGGGTCTTTCCTTGAGCTCAAGTGGATCTAGAGGTCAGAATGCAGCAAACCCAGGCCTGTCTCCACTAATGTTTCTGTTTCTGTCCCAGAGAGGTGGTTGAATGGTTGGTCGCAGCAGTTACAGGAGTTGGGTTCTCCCAGCGCCAGGAGCAGCCGCAAGAGATTACATCCTCTTCAGCAGAAGCAAAGGCCAAACACAGCTCATCAGCACCACGGCTGGCCAGCACTGACCGGGCAGAGGAGGCTCCACCAGCTTTCTTCGCCCAGAAGTAAGCCCCAGAAGTCCTGAATCCCTGGTGGCAGTATCATGGGGACCAAGTTAGGGAGAAGCCAGAGTTTCTTCACGCCAGGTCAGGGAAGCCAGGCTGTGCCTGAATTTGTCCTCTGGGGTAGATATACCCTTGGTGAGCAAGAGACTTCTTCACCTGGTAGGAAACTGGCTCAGTGAGCATCCTCCTCTTACACGTAGCATAAGGCTGAAGCTCTTGGCCTACACCCCGTCCTGCTCCACCAATGCTCAGTACAGCCACTGAGACCTCCCAAGGGCCCATCTGGGGATTAGCTCTGCTTCCAAGAGCATCAGATTTAAAAGCCACCAAGAGACACCAAGTCTAGCCTGCTACATTCCCTTACGTCCCTCACTGCAAGGTATGAGGCTGAACTAGGTGCCATCCTCACTGCTTTACTTGGCAAGCTGAGGGGTAATGTCTCCCAGTGTTGACTGTCTCCCTAACCTAGGGTGACGCTCCTGCTCCAGCGGATGTTGTCCATCGCAGTGGAAGTGGACAGATCTCCCAACTGCAGCTCCTGTAAGATCGCAGATGTGATATTCCCATTTATACTGAATATCCCCCTAAGGAGCCAAAGGTAAGACTAACATATGCAAGGCAGCATCTGCCTGTGTGAGCAAGAGTCTTATTCCTGATTCACATCTGAGTTTGGACACATAAAGTACCACAGAGTATAGAAAGACAGACTCATTTATGACTCAGCCAGCAAACACATGGCTATCAGACCAACAGATCCCATGGAGACACAACATCACCAACTGAATGCATCTCCCCAGCTTGTCTGTTGCTGACAAAAGCTGATTCTCCCACTTGTTAAAGTTGGAGGACCTTAAAACTGTAAAAAAGGTCTGAAAAGCAGCACTCTGCATCAACATGGTCAAGTAGTGGCAAAGGCATCACTGATTCCCAGGGACAACTGAGAAGCTCATCAGAAATATGATATGGTTCCTACAGCTTTGCCTTGACATGCTTTTGTTTGCTTCTCTAAGAAATGCAGTATCTGAAGGCAAAGCACCAGGGCCTGACTGGCTCTAATGTAGACACAAGACCTGTAGACCCACAGGCATTTCAAACCCACGTTGCCAGCCCCAGCAGGCAGCCCTTTCGGACCCTTTTAGCAGAACTCCCTCTGAGCACTCAATGATTCCAATCAAGCCAAACCGACTCTAACCAAGCTATTCCTCCTCCCAGGACAGATCTCCTAGATCCGGCTGGCCACTGTCCC